AATWTTWWTATTTATTTTTTAGTTTTTGGCAGACACAACATCTTTGTATGTGGTGCTGAGGATCGAACCCGGGCCGCATGCATGCCAGGTGAGCACGCTACCGCTTGAGCCACATCCCCAGCCCAATACATAATTAACTCTTATCATTATCTCTATCTGGAAGGAGCACATTTGGCTATGTGGCTAGGTGGCTCTGCCAAAGCAGACTAATAGTTAAATTAAAAAAGCCACTGAACTGTGGTCACAGGCTGGGTGGTGGACAGGAGTACTTGTCAACTTCCCTCTAGGGGTCTGCTGTCTCCCCACCCCAGCTTCCTGTTTCCTCTGTCTGCCTTTCCCCAGACTTGGGACTTATGGATACTTCCAACCCTTGGGGAGACCTTCAAGCAAAGGGCTTAGGGAGTTTTGAATGTATCTAAATTCTGACTTTTTGTTAGTTCCATATACCCTTTATTTTATTTTTTTCTAGCTTTACTAAGGTATAATTGACAAATAAAATTGTATATATTGAAAATTAAAACATGATGCATATACATATATTATTCATAATATATATATTCTTTATATATATATAAAGAATATATATCTAAATATATAAATAAATATATATAAAGATATATATATATATATATATATATATATATATATATATAAAGAGAGAGTTGATTAATACATCCATCCTCTTACATAGCTAATGCTATTTGTTTGGTGTGGTAAGAACACAGTGTATATTCTTTAAATAAATTTCATGTATGTAATACAATATATTTAACTATCATCACCAAAGTTGTAGATTAGATCCTCAGAACTACAAGTTTGTTCCCTTTGACCAACATCTCCTCCTTTACCAACCCTCTGTAAACACCATTATAAGCTAAACTTTGCTTCTGTAAGTTGAACTTTTAAAGATTTTACATATAAATAATATCATAAAGTACTTGTCTTTTTGTCTGGCTTATTTTGCTTTGCATAATGTCCTATGGATTCATCAATGTTCTCACAAATGACTGGGTTTCCTTCTTTTTTATGGGTGAATACCATTCCGTTGTGTATATATTACTTTTTCTTTAGCCATTTGTCCATTGATGGACATTTAGGTTGTTTCCATACCTTGACTGTTATTTTTAAAAATGTTATAATGAACACAAGAGCATAGATATATCTTTGAAATAGTTACTGTGTTTCATTTGGCTATATACCCAGAAATGGGATTGAGACGGACAAATAGCTTGAATAGACAATTTTCCAAAAAGACATACAAAAGAGCAAGAAGTTATGAAAACATGCTTGATATCACTAAACATCAGGGAAATGGAAACCAAAACTAAAATGAGATGCCTTACCCCAGTAAGGAGGACCATTATCAAAAAGTCAATAAGTTCTGGTGAGAATGTAGAGAAAAGAGAATGCTACTACACTATTGTTGGAAATGCAAGATGGTGCAGGTGATATGGGAAACTGCATAGAGGAGCCTCAAAAATCTAAAAATAGAACTACCATAAAACCCAAACATTTAAAAAAAAAAAAAACCTAAAATGTCAAAAGCCTATTTCAACCCCTTTCAGTTCATCTTCTTTCCCTTTCCCTTTTTGTCTCTTAAACCTGCACATTCTCATTTGAAGACAATTTCTGCTCTGAGCCATATTTTTCAAGACGGAAACCTGAAAGAAGGGAGAAGTGCAAGGAGCCTGAGATGCTAACTTTACCACTGTTTGACACAGAAACATAGAACAGTGACTGTACTCTGGTTTCTCAACCACACTTGAGTCAGGTTTGGGAGTGAAAAAATCAAAGATACAGAAAAAGGATGGAGGACAACAGTGGACACAACTTGGGGTTGGGCCATGTTTACAGTTGATCTGAGTCCCTTCAAAGAAACTTCGATCCCATTTCAGGGACTGACTGATTTAAGGAGAGATAAGCAAAGTGACTTGGGCTTAGAAAGAGGTAGCAGGCCTCTGACAGGCTGCTCCTGAGGACCAGGTACCTGTCTGGAGCTCAGGGTACTAATCCTGAAAATGTACTTCATGCAATGTGACTTTGGTAGCAGATCCACTTTAGAGAGAGTTTGCATTAGTTTTCTAGGGCTGTCATAACAAAGTACTACAGAAGAGGCCACTTAAACAATAGAAATGTATTTTCTTACTGTTCTCAAGGGTCTAAGTCCAAAATCAAGGTGTTGTGAGGGCATATGCCTTTGTCTTAACTTCTGGTGCTGTTTGAAAGTTTTAGTCTTCACTATAATCTCTTCCCTGTCATCACATGGCATTCTCCCTGTATGCCTCTGTCTTTACATGATCAGCTTCTTTTTTAAATATTTTTTAAGTTATCAATGGACCTTTATTTTTATTTACTTATGTTTATGTGGTGCTGAAGATTGAACCCGGTGCCTCACACATGCTAGGCAAGTGCTTTACCACTGAGCTCCAACCCCAAACCACATGACCAGCTTCTTTCCAGGACACCAGTTCTATTGTATTTGGGTCTCACCATATATCAATATGACCTCTTTTTAACTAATGACATATGCAGTGATACTGTTTCCAAAGAAGGTCACATTCTGAGGGACTAAGAGTTAGGACTTCAGCATATCTTTTGGGGAAGTCACAATTCAGGGCCAGAGGTGTTGCTACACATCCTACAATACACAGTACAGCTCCTGAAGCAAAGAAGCATCCAGCCCCAGATGCTCATAGGACCCAAGTTAACAAAACCTCATCTGCCTCCCACATTCTCCCATCAGAAGAGTGTCCCTCTCAACCTAACCTGTTCCCGAAGGGCTTTCGTTCTCTCTCTGGGGAGCCACCGCTGGCCCTTTGACTTTGAGTCATTTTTACTCCCCCCTCTTCACACTTGCCTATTCAAGGCAGGGTCTTCAAATTGATGATTTCAAAGGTTTCTCCCTCTGCCATGCTGCTTGGCTCCTGCCCGCCTGCCGTGCCAACAGATGAAGTTGTGAGGGCTGCTGGCCTCCCTGCATCTAATCCTGAGCCTCAGCAGCAGCAGGGAAGGTGGCAAATGTTCAATAGCAGTTGTTGGCAAAGAAGCACAGCAGTGGCCAGACCTGATGATGCCACTGCATGCGCAAAAGCCACTTTTAGCAAATTTCTCCTACGTGGTCAGATTTGCAACCAGGACAAAGCCCTCCGCTGTGTATGGGTTCCGAGGACAGAGAAATATAAAGCTCCTTTTTAATTCCTTGCTGGTTAATTAGTTTGGATGACTAGCTGAAATTCCTTTTTTAAATTTTGTTTCTATTATTATTAATATTGGTAGATTAATCTGATCTATGAAATGCAATGGGGAATGAATTTACATGGCAGTAAAATATAAAGCAGAAAATTTCCACATGAGTGTGGTTTTATCTAAAGTAAAATGGCTTCTGCATTGATTAGGCTCTGGTCAGAAAACCATAATAAACTCCTTGCCAGTTTGCCAGATTACATTCATTCATTAATGATCAGGTGATACTTGGAAACTATGAAGTGCTGAATGATATTTTAAAACCTTCTGGTTAGACACAAAATGTGATTTTTGTTCCCTGCTTATAGAGTCCCTGGGTTTCTATTCTTGTCCTTTACCATTATTATGTTTGTTAATCAAATAGCTATGATTTAGAATCCAGTAATTCATCCAACTCCTGGCCAATAACATCAAATAGTGAAATAGCCTTGTATTTAATTACAGAGGAAAATGTCTTTTCTCTAAATCTAGCATCTGAGCACTAGTTCCCTGTTGTTTTGAATTGGTTTGGGTTTGGGATGGGGGAGTTGGCAGCAGATTCCTGTTGGCATCTTATTTTCGGATCAGCTGTACAATTGCAAGAGGGTGTTTGCCCTTACTCAAATAGCAAGTAGCCTAAGAAAGGTACTTAAATAGAGTTTTCAAACAATTTTTGTGTCCTTTTATTTTAGGGCAAAATATTTGTACCCAGAACCTTTTATTAGTTGCCTTTGCCCACAGCTCCCTCGTGTGATTTGTCACTATAATTTTGAAGAAACTATCAAAGGAAAAATCCAGCTTCTTTAAGCTTGAGAAATGCCATACCTCCGCTGAAACTTCTCATCTTATAAGATCTTCAACTGTATTCCCATTTTCATCAGAAAGCATGCTATAATTGAACAAGGATTTATGTAGGAAGTGTCTATTCATTTGGGAGGGGGCTGGGAGAGAGGGGGCATTGGTACATTTTGCTTTTGTATAAACAAGTATGGCCCCTGTTTTGGACTCACAAAAGAAGATAGCATTTCAGGCAGTGACTCTGAGCTAGTTTAAAGGGAAGGAAAATCCTACCCTTTTCAGATTTTATCTGCATGTGAACTAGTGACCAGTCACTATGGCTGGTGTCCTGATTTCCTTTGACTTATTTCTTAGATACATAACTCAGTATTTTTGATATCATTTATGAAATATTTATACCATACAGGAAATACTACCACCCATGTACTCACTACTCAGATTTAACAGATGTTAATATTTTGCCTGAGTGCTTCTGAGCTTTCTGTTTTTTGAGAAATAAAATGTTACAGCTCAAGCTTGAAACCTCTCCCATCTCTCCCCTACCTGTCCCTCCTCAGAAGAATCACTGTGTTGAAGTTGGTGTGTATACCTCCCATGAATGTTCGTATTCTGTTCTCTACATGTATGTATCATACACAATATAAAATATTGTTCTGGTGATTTTAATTTGCATAGCTAGTATCAACTGATCTTTCTATTGTGGGGTGATTTTCACACATCTGCATAAGAAAATATATATACCAGAGTATTACTTGTTGCAGTACTGTTTGCCATAACAAAAAGGAAAGGGAATGTAATCTAATTGCTCATCAGTAGTGAAACAGTTAAATAAAATGGTGGTTTGTTCATATAATGGAATATCAAACAAATGGTCACACAAAGGTTAGATCTATGTGTATCAACACAAGTGCATTTCAAAAGTAGTGTTGAGAGTAAAAAGCAAGTTGTAAAAATATGCATGCAAGATGATACTATTTACATATCTATTTAATTCATGAATTACTCCAACTGTTCTAATGTCTGTTCAGATCACAAAGTAGTATTTAAACGATCTCATTAATTAAAAAAATGGGAGAATAAAGGTACTGATGTTTAAAAGTGTTTTTTTTTTTTTCAGTAAAGACTTTCTTTATTCAAGAAATCTCAGACGGGCTGTATTCTTATCTTTAGAATCATTCTAATTAATATATGAAGCCCATCAATTAACATAAGCCTCTAACTTTGCAAGAACCTCCTAATCAACTATTTGGTCCCCCTGAAAATAAGAAAAAAATAAAAGTAGAAAGTCACATCCAGGGAGGGCATCTCAGAGTGCTTCCTCTATAAATCTCACTCTATAAAACAATCTGAATATTTTCACAAGACTCCTCAAGGGAAAGCATAGCATAAGTTATTTTCATATTCCTTTAGAATGTAAACTGATTCAGCTTACATCATATAGCATACCCTTAAGGAGATAGTCCTAACACAATTAGTCAACTTTTCATTACTGTGACCAAAATATCTAATATAAACAACTTAAAAGAAAAAAAAAAGATTTACTTTGGTTCACAGTTTCAGAGGTTTCAGTCCATTGTACACTGGCTCCATTGCTTTGGGCCTGAGGTAGATAGAACATCATGATGGAAGGGTATGACAGAGGAAAGGTGCTTAGCTCATGGCAGCCAGGAAGTGGGGGTGGGGTGTGAGGAAGGGGCTGGAGACAAAATAAACCCTTCCAGGGCTTGCCTCTAGTGACCTACCTCCTCCAAGTAGGCCCTGCCTCCTACAGTTTTCACCACTTCTCCATAATGTCATCCAGCTGGGCATGGTGGCACATGCCCTATAATTCCAGTGAACCAGGAGGCTGAGACAGGAGGATTGTAAGTTTGAGTCCAGACTCAGTAATATAGCAAGATCCTTGGCAACTTAGTGAGACCTTGTCTCAAAAATCAAAAATCAAAAAATATATCATAAAAAGAGCTGGGGATATGGGTCAGTGGTAAAGCACCCCTAGGTTAGATCCTCAGTACCAGTTAAAAGAGAACGGGCATGAATTATGGCCCCCAGCTATGAATCCCTTGATGGTTTAATGAATGAATGAGGTTAGAACTTACATAATCCAATTGCTTTCAAAATTTCCAACTCTAAACATGGCTGCACTAGGTACCAAGCCTGTAACACTCATATATCCTTTGGAGGAAATTCTAGATATAAACCATAACAATAGTTCCTCCTGTCTTCTCAAATCCAAATCATTTGAAGGCAATAATTCAAATTTTACCTTTACTTCTAGCACACATGGTTTTTGTACATGAAAGTTGCTCAAAAACATTGAAGGCAGTACAGTACCAGGGAAAGCACTCAGGGTCTTCAATCAAAGTAAACAGACCTGGTTTCAATCATGGATCTACCACTTATTGAGTCATGCATCTTCTAATTGATTTGGGGCAGGGTTGCCTGATTTGCCAGGTTTAGGGGATAAAAATCATCCAGGACATCCAATCAAATTTAAGGGACATACTTATGACAAAATGGTCATTGCTTATCTAAAATTAAAATTGAACCAGACATCCTGTATTTTCATCTGGTCGTCCCCTTTTGAACAAATTAATTGTCTAGATTCAGGAAGTTCAGTGTGGTTGAGAAAGTTTTTCTTGGA